GGGCCGGCCCCCCCCCCCCCCCCCCCCCCGTAGCCATGGGCAGGGCTGCACACCCAGGGGCAGGATTCGGCCCTGCTCTGGCTGGACTTCGTGCTGCTGAGGATTGCCCAGCCCTGCCGTGTGTCAGGGTCTCTGCAAGGCCTCTCTGCCTCTGAGGGAGTCAGCAGCTCCTCCAGTTTAGGGCTGTCCTCAAACTCAGCATCCACTCGAGTCCTGCATCCAGACACCATCTCCAGACTGAACCTCTCCTTACAGATAAAGCACCGGATCCCATAGAGAGGGGTGTGATCTAAGAGGCTTAGAGAACACCACTGATCTCACTGGATTGCTTTCTAAATGTCTAAAATATCAAATAAAAGCATTGGAACTAAAGGGGGGTTGCACTCCTGTTTATGCCATCAGCAAAACGCACACAGTGTCTTTTTCTAGTTGGACCTCCAGAGCAGCCTCTGGGAGACTGCTGGCATTGCAGAGCATTGCCTGGGTACACAGCTACTGCAGCAGAAGCTGTGCTGTGGAAATCACGGAGCATTTGCAACAAACAGCATCAAACTGTCTTATTTGGTAGCCATCACTTGGGAAACTGATTTGCACCTCCAAATGGAGAACCAGAGGGACACCAAGAAGGCCAGAAAGGAACTATTCAGAGGCCACCCCTGCCATGAAAGTGCCCTAAGAAAGCTGCAGCCTGAATCTGAGCCTGAAGTCTGAAGATCCCATGAGAGATGCAACAAATTGACAAAATATGAGATTTGTGTGATGTGTTCAACCCAATGAGCTGTTTTCTACTTTCTCCCATTCTATGAGAGGCAATCACCTTCTCCCATATTTCCAGCACTTGCAAATGGTTTGCATTTCAGCAGAATTTCCCCCTTTAATTAATTCCTTAACAGTCTTTGCCCTATTACTCAGAGCTGTTGTAAGCAAAGTTCCATGAGGTGAGCACACACTTTCCCTATTTTATAACGTAACAGGGCAAAGAGCGTGGAGAATTAATTAAAGGGGGAAGTTTGGGGCCTTTTCATTCAGATACTTCTGAATCTCCTTTTTAGAAATGGTAAAGGTCCCAATGACTCCAGGATGACTAATTCCTTTTCTTATATACGACTGTCTTTTGTGCTCTGTAAGGCCTGTTTCACTTGACTCAGCCATATCAGAGAATAAGGAAGGAAAATGTGGTCTCCCTGCTAAATAGGGCTAATATGGATAAGGCTGACTCAGTGCCTTTCGTGCTTTGGTCTACATCAATAGGTTCTCCCAGGCTTTTGTACCCATAGATAGGATGTTCTTGAGAAAATATCTACAGCTCTGTGGGATCAAATGGGATACAGCCACAGATATGTGGCTGATGTCAATGCAAGACTGGAAGCTTGTGGGAACGACTGACAACTGGAGAAAGCGAGATGTTGCACCAGTCTTCAAAAAGGACAAGAAGGGCAATCCAGGGAAATAGGCTGGTTGGGCTTGGAAAGGGGAAAGGGAGGGAGGGAAGGGGAGAAGGCGGAAGAGGAGAGGAGAGGGAAGGGGAGGGGAGAGGGAGGGGGAAGGGAGGGGACAGGGAGGGGAGTGAAGGGAAGGAGAGGAGAGGAGAGGAGAGGAGAGGAGAGGAGAGGAGAGGAGAGGAGAGGAGAGGAGAGGAGAGGAGATACTTTGGACACTCTGATAGTTTTATGTCCTTTCTGTACAGTGGTGCCCAAATCTGCACACAGTACTCAAGGCAAAGCTGCACCAGCGCAATGTAGAGCAGGACAATCCTTTCCTTTGCCCAGCAGTGCCATCTTGATGCACCCCAGAGTACAGTTGGCCTTCCTGGCTGCCAGGGCACACTGTTGACTCATGTTCAACTTACTGTACACCAAGAACCCCAAATCCCTTTTAGCAGAGCTGATCTCCAGCCTCTCATCCCCCAGTCTGTAAGCATATCAATGGCTGCCCAACTCATGGGCACTTGCTCTTGTTGAACTTCACACTGTTGGCAATCACGCAGATCTCTCATTTCTCTAGATCTCTCTGCAAGGCCTCTCTACCCTCAGCAGAGTCAACAGCTCCTTCCAATTTAATATCATCAGGAAACATGCTCAAAACACCATCAAGTCCTTCAGCTGAGTCATTTAGGAAAACTTAAAAGAGAACGAGCCCTAAAATCATCGAGGTTGGACTCGGTGATCTTTGGAGGTCCCTTCCAACCCCTACAATTTTGTGATTCTGTGAAAATGGAGCCCTGCCTGGTGTAACCCCATTTACTATAACCCTTTGGGCCCGGCTTGTCAGCCAATTGCTCACCCATCACATTGTGGCTTTGTGTAGCTGTATGCTGGACATTTTGTCCTGAATGATACTGTGAGAAACAGTATTGAAAGCTTTACTGAACTACTTGGGCGATCTTGTCATAAAAGGAAATTCAGTTGTTAAACAGGACCTTCTCCTCATGAACATTGGCTGGGACCAATGACCACACTGTCCTTAAGGTGTTTTTCAGTAACTTTCAGCAACATTTTCTCCATCATCTTATCAGGAAAAGAAGTGAGACTGATGGGCCTGTACTTACCAGGGTCTTCTTTCAGCCCTCTCTAAATTGGAGTGTTTGCCAGCTTCAGCATGATCCACATAGTGGGAGGGGAGCAGCCTGATACCTCCCCTATGAGCTGAGACCTTACTGTTCTCATTGCTGTGGTCTCTTTGGGAAGTGCTGTCTCCCCCGTGCACTCTTGGCAATCCCTTCTGGACCTCAGACCCCTGAAAGCCGCATTCACTTCTGCAGGCTCTGGGCTGAGGTCTGCCCTGTGCTGGTATGTTGCATCAGCTCAACCCCATATGCTCACCCAGGGTGTTCCCCCAAGTGACAGAACTGCAGTGTTTCCAGGAAACAATTACTCACAAATGTAACTAGCAAAAATCCCTGCACAGGATTCATCATCACAGTTAGTGATGCACCTCCACACCAAGCTCTGAAAAGAGGATGTGGGCATAGCAGCAGTGACAACATCTCTGTGCCCCCTAGCAAGTGACAGTGGCTGTCAGGCACACAAACTTCTGCCTGTGCCCCCACTGCAGACACACCACACTGTGCTGACACTGCTGCAGCATGTTGTACAGCTGCCATCAGTTCTCTGCTGTGCTATCCTAAGAGAGTCGAGGAAGGGGTCAGGGCAGCTTCTGTTGGTGAATGCTGAAGGTGGAGAGGACCCTGATGTACACTGGGGCTGATCAGGTCTTCACCAGGGCTTTGGGAGTGAAGGCCACTAGGAGTCTGCACTGCTCTATGTTTTAATAAAAACAGCCCTCCTGTGCTGGAACAACTCCAGGGTCTTCGGACACTTTGCCTATCTCCTCTGCAGTGTTTTTTGTGCATACCTCAGCACACAGGAACGCGTTGCATCAGACCCAGCCCAGGCTGACCTCTGGCTGTCTCCCACCAGCCAGTTACTGAGCTGTTTGCCATCCCTCTCACAAAGCTCTGTCCTATTGTGGGCCAATTATTAACTGAACACTTTCTTTGGTGGTGCTTTATTAGTTAAATATAAGCACATCTTACACAAAACACTGCTTTGCATATCATACGGCAATTTTTACATTGGCCTTTGATTCTTGCAGCTGAAGCAGTTTGAACAGAAGTTAAGAAAACTCTGCTTTTGGTAAATAAAGTGAGTTCCAGACAATATCCCCCAGAGGGGAGGAAGGGCAGATGACCCTGCAGCAGTTCCCCTATTGCTGTATGTAACACTGAGGAATTGAGAAGGCTAGGTGTATTTCTAGTGCTGTGCCTCGTGCAAAAGCTTCTTTCTGTTAGAGCCTTTCACAGTACAGGCACAGTGCTAGAACTGTTGCCTGAGTTGACCCACACCAGCATCTGTTCCTGAGCCCACCTGCTCCAGGAAAAGCTGGAGAACAACCCCTATCTGTTCCTTGGAGCTTCTGCTGAGGGATGGTTGCTCTCCATCTGGCCAGCACAACTGCTGCCCCTGTCAAAGCAAAGGAACCATCTGCAGCTGCCATTTCGGGCTGCTGCTTCTACTGGAGACAATGACTTAACCCTTCCAGGGCTGAACAGGAGCTTTTCGAGACTGGCTAATATTAAATCTGCTACTATGCAATGGGATGTCTTTGGTTTTGATCCATTTCTGCAATTATAAATGGCTGAGTTCTGGTTTTCCTTACAAGCTGCTCCTCATTCCCAAGTGAAAAGGCTAAGCTTAGGTAAAAGAATATTGCTCAGAGGGACACAGATTCTTTCTTCTTGTAGGAAATCACATAGAGGAGGACCTTGGTTCCCCTACAACTGCTGTATTGGCAGATCATGTGCTGCTTCTCCCTCATGCCAGCACAGCTTTCAGTGGGACCAGTGACTTACCTTCCTGCCTGTGCTGCTGGGGATGGAAAGGTTTCACTCTTATCAGGAAGGAAAGGCCATTTCCAGCTCCTGGGATTCCCTCAGAATTAGCCATTTCAGTCAGAAAGCAACAACCATTTGCGTCACTGTTGACTTTCAGAAGATGTCCGCTGTTTTGCAGAGGCTGAATGCCTTATAAATATGAATGACTTGCACAGGGGTGAAGCCATGGTCCCTTCCTTGCAGGGCTGGTCAAGTATCACTGCAGGCACAAAGAAGAGCAGGGCAGCAGGGCTGCATTGACCCTTGGGGCAGCTCAGGATGCCAGCTGAGCTCAGCCCAATGGTCTGCCAAGGCCAATGGTGTGCCAAGGCCTCGGGCTATCTCCTACCCACCTGCAAGCCAGGTGGGCCAGGCAGGGCGAGAAGGGCTCCAGCACAGGGCACCCCTTCATTTCTCTAGTGACCCCAGTGCAGAAGAGC